TCAATCAAGACAAAAGGGCATATTTTCATAAAGAAACAAGCAAGAATAGTTATATCTTTAATGAAAATACAGCAGGTGTTAATCATTTCAAGTTCATCAATGAAGACCCTAACGGAGATATAAGATTTTATGCTAATAACAGCATAAGACTTTTCGTCACTCCATCAAAAGTTTCTGTTCCAGCACCTTATACATTAGAAGGGGATTTAGTGGATACATCGCAAAAAGATATGAAATATGATATTGAAGAAGCAAACTTCAATTTTACAAAACTAGTAAATAGCATTAAACCTCATACTTTCAAAATGAAAGAAGAAAAAGAAATGGGAATAACTAAAACTCATATAGGTTTTATAGCAGAGGAGGTAGAAGAAAATATACCAGAAAAGGTTGAACATATACTTGTGAAAGTGGATGGCATTAAGAAATTAAGTTATGTCAAGATGAACTCTATTTTATGGGGCGCTGTGAGGGAGCAACAACAAAAGATTGAGCATTTAGAGGCTTGTATGTTTGAAATGATGGAGGAGATAAAAGAATTGAAAAGGTAAAGGTAAAGCGAAAGCAAAGGCTAAAGCAAAAAGCAAAGACAATTAAAATATAAACCTATAAATATGGGAAATAAACAATCTACAGTTGAGAACGGTTGTATTCAAGAATTGAGTAAAATTGATGAAGAAGAGTTAGATATTAGTAGGATAGATAAATTACAAATAAAAGCCTGATAATCCAAAGTGTCTTGATTTTGTGTATAAGCCGTGAAGGATTTTACTATATCTCATAAATGTCTTATCTTCTGCGAAATCATCAACTACTAACAGGCAACTATATAACTTGTTCATCTTGTTTTTCTTCTGGTATTCTATCACTTTATGCTGTGTGTCTATGATGTGTGCCAGACTTTCAGGGTCATACTCATCAAACAAATATTGCTCTTTTTTGTTGTCTATTTTTAATTCTTTCTCTATGTATCGGATTACTTCTTTGTATGCTTCATCTATGTGGGCTGTCGGTGATACAATGTATATTCTCTCAAAGCATCCCCTGTAGATTTTTAGAATGAGGTTTTGAATTAATATACCCTTTCCGCCCTGTGATGCCGATACAATGATGCTTCTGAATGGTAGTTTGTCTGCTTGTGGGTATGGTGATAGTTTGAATTCATACTGTTTTACATTGATAGGCTCTATTTTAGGAACAGCAAGTTTTGACATAATATAAATTATTTAGAAAATAAAATATATTATATCTTGTAAATGGCATATCTTATTTTACCTTTGAGTATTGGGGTCAGGTGAAATTTGGGACAGACTGCCATATTGCCCCTCATAAGAAGGTTAATTAAAAATAAAAAAATACACCCCTTTGGCTCTTGCTTCTTTTTCACTCCCGACACGGTCTCTTTTTGCTATGACAACAAGCAGTAGAAGATGTTGAAGCCTTTTTGCTCTTGAATTTGTTTGATGCTATGTTTCAATCAGCACAGTTCATTTTCTTTGACATTTACCTACCGCCCCTTATGGATTTTTGTTTGCGCCTAAAAATCCATATATAATTAGATAGTAATAATTTTAACATCTAATTATATAGGATGAGTGAATATGATAGTTATATTAATACAATAGATGTGATTGAAGATAGTGTCATTGATGATACTAAATTTCCAATTGTAAGAGATAATAAACTTAAACATATATTCAGGGTAATGCTGGAGTTTCTCAAAGTAATAATAAATTATCTTAAGTATCATATAAATGCCACCCACAAAAGCAAAACCAAAGATGAGTAGTAAAATACCAAAAAAACCAATCCCTGAAGATTTTGAACTATCAGATGAAGAACCCACCACAATAAATCTGGATGAGGAACAAAAACTAACAAGCAAGTTTATCACCTTTGATTGCCCACTGTGTCATTGTAAATTACAATTGAGAAATGAAATTGAAATCAACCCCAAGGGAATAAAATGTAAGTGTAATCCGTGTAGTTTCAAAATCAGTAAAAATGACAAGACAATGAATGTCAGCAGGGATGACAACGGGGAGATAGTTTTAGAGAGTGAAGACCACAGCATTAGCTTTTCGTGGAACCGGCAAATCACCCCTGAAGACAACAAAACCGAGAGCACAAATAAGATGATAAGTGATGTAATGGGCACACCAAGAGGTGCTGGGGGTTCAAAAGAACCCACAACCCCCAGAAGTGGCAGTAGCAGTAGCAAACAACAAATGGCAATAAATGATATGGATTGAAACATATTTAGAGAGTGATTTTAACACACTTTGAACTGCTAAAGAAATAAATATCTAAATTATTATATATAGAAATGTCTGATTTAGATGATAAACAGCCTGCGATGGCAGAGATGCTGAATAAGATGACTAGGTATAACAAGAATGTCAAAACATTGATGGACTTAATGAACAAGGCATTAGAAAAACTTGATATATTAGTGAAAAATAAATCAAGTAATGATAATGATGCTGATGCTGAGAAAGAAAGGATGGATAAAATCTTTGAGGCTAAAAAAATCGGCAGACCTGTCGGCACTTTTGAAACCAAGCAACAGCAGTATCTGAAAATGCTGAACGAAGGAAAAATCAAAATGCCAAAGGCTCAAACTCTTGAGTATTACAAGATTGAAAGGGATGGGGAAGTTTTCAAACTCATTGATTGAGGTTTCATAGTATTTTTTTCTCAAATAATATTATGAAATTGTTAGAATTGTTTAGTGGCACTGGTAGTGTTGGATGTGTAGCTAAAAATATGGGCTGGACTGTTGTGTCATTAGATTTGAAAGGGGCTGATATAAACTGTGACGATGACTTACAGTCATCCTCAAGGCTTTGCCGTGACATACTACAATGGAAATACAAAAAATATCCAGTGAAATACTGGGATATGATTTGGGCTTCACCCCCGTGTGTTGAGTATGGCATTGCTAAACAAACTGGGGTAAGGAAGATTGAACAAGCAAATGACATAGTAATGAAAACTCTTGAGATAATCAAATACTTCAAGCCGAGGGTATGGTTCATAGAAAATCCCCAAACGGGCTTATTGAAGAAGCGACCATTTATGGAGGGTTTGCCATTCTTTGATATTGACTATTGTAAATATGGTATGCCATACAGAAAAAGAACAAGGTTATGGACTAATCTTGAGAATTGGACACCCAGACCTCTTTGTAAAAAGGATTGTGATAGTATGGATGGGAATAGGCATAAAGAAACTGCGCAAAGGGCACCTAGTGGGAAGAAAGAAAACTGGAAAGAAAACTATACTCTTTTTAAACAGAGGGATTTGTATAGAATACCTCAAGCCTTGGTTGAAGAAATTATGACTGCTGTAAATGTTGTGTGCTTTAGATAGTTGCTGTGCCTTGCCACATTACTGCGCCCTGCCACTATAGGGGTCAGCAGTTGCCTCTGATTGCGGAAGACAAAGTCGTTGAAACTGCCTTGACATCCTCTTTCTTGTCCTTCTTGATAGTTTGAAGCACACCCTTCAAAGTAGAAGATGATGAAGGTGTATCACGAGACAATCCCATTGCTCACACTGACAGCAAAACGGAAACCTCAAATGCTTGAATTGATTTGAGCAACAAAGTGCTTTTTTGCTGGACAAGTTCGTTTGCTCTCTGGTTGAACAACTGCCAAAGGTTTTGCTTCCCAGACTGCTTCAACTTCACTGTCTCAACTTTGCGTCATCTCTGATGTTCTGGGCATCCGGACTTTTTTTGGATGAAGTCATTGTCCGAAAAAGCCGGTTGGCAAAATGAAAGAGGGTATGGACTGGTAAGATAGGATTATTAAAGGGTAGGGGTTTATCTTTATTTGGGTCTATTGTTTTGTTTTTATATTGTTCTTTGCTTGGTCTGGTTTTTTGTTTGTTGTTGTTTGTTATTATGATTTATGTTAAGATGGGTAAGGTTATGCTTATAGAGTTTTATGTATTGTTGTTTGTTGTCTTGTTTTTGGTATAGTCTTTTTTATTATTCTGTGTATTGTTTAGGTTGTTTTGTTTTTTTTTTGTTTTTATTTGTTTGTTATGATTTATATTATAGATTATGTTAAATTCTATGAGGTTATGGCAATCCCGTCATAGGTATTAGCCCTTATGATTTTGTTGTATGATAATCTGGGTGGGTTATATTAAGATGGGATTGGTATTTAAAAAGATATTTCCTATCTATAGTAGGGTAATGGAAGATAATAAAATCAAATGTGCTAAATGCTTTAAAGAAATGGAGGAGGGTAAATACAAAACTTGTGATAGGTGTAGAGAATATATGAGACAAAATCATCAGAAGAACAAAGAAAAATATAATGAAAGGAGGAGAGAGTATTATTACAATCATATAGAGGAGGCAAAGGAATATGCTAGAAATTATGGTAGGACACACAGGGAAGAAATAAATGAAAGAAGAAGAAATCATAGAGCAGAAAACATTGAACAAGTGAATGCTAAAATAAAATGGATGACCTGCCCTGTATGTGATGATTATGAAATTCAATGTAAGAATTACAAGAGACACACACAAACAACAAAGCATCTGGATAACTGGAAGAAACAGCAAACATAAATTTCATTTTATAATTTCAAAATTATAAAAGTGAAATTGTTTTTTGTTATGATTTATGGTATAGTCTTTTTTATAATCTATTGTAGTGTTTAGGTTGTTTGAGTTTTCTTGTTTTGTTGTTTGTTGTTTTGATTTATGTTATTGTTTTCTATAAGGTGTTGCTCCCCTGTCTTTGGTATTAACCACATAGAATTTGCTTGTATAATAATGTGGGCGGTTAGATGAGAAAGACGGGGGAGCAACAGTCTAACTGTATTATATAATATATTACATTATACTAGTTTATAATAGATTATATTTACTTCATAACACTTAAATACGCAAAACACATACCAACCATCTCTGGGTCCCCCCGTTCAGTTCCCTTTTTATCTTCCGTTGGAATCCACCACGTCCGTCTTCCCGGGAAGCGGACTTTGAAGCTAACCAGCAGCTGGCACATCAGCACATCTCCCATCTGGCGCAGGGCGTTTCGCCGGAGGTGCCAAATGATGGAGAAATGATGGGAAAATGATGGGAAAATGGTGGGAACATGTGAATTTAACCCCGGTTAAAATGATGAAACATGGGGATCTAACCATCGAATGGTCAGGATGTTCCATGGATGGGTTTTTCAGGAAAAATCTTGAAAATGCAGAGTTCCCCTGAAAAATTCCCGGAATTGTTGATGTTCGCAGCCTCAACGTAAACAAACTATGACATCACAAATTGAACTTTGTAGCCCTCAGTGCATATTTTGTTTTTGTTCGCTATAGATCTATAGATCTGATATATGTTCTTATGGCTCAGATTCGACCATGTACTTACTTGAATATATAACTATTATATACTTATAACATCCCTGTTGGAATTCGAACCAAACCTGGGGGTTCCATTCTATAGGGACTAAAACGCAAACCCAGGACTAAGGGGGGGGATTTTCCCTATAGAATAGAAACCCAAGAAAACCAACAGCCCCCTGACACTCCTATAAAATGAAAACCCAGCATCATACTGGCCACTGCTTCTAACAGATAACCCACTATAAAATGAAAACCTGGTTTGGTTTCACTTTTTGGATCTGGGCTGGCACCATTCCAAAAAAGAATCTACTTGGTGACTATTTTATAGAGGGGGGTTGGATTTCCATTTTATAATCACTTGGACTCAGGGGTTTTCATTCTACAGTGGATTATTTGTTAGAAGCGGTGGGTATGAGGCTGGGTTTTCATTTTATAGGAGTGGAAGGGGAGGTGTCAGTGGGCAATAATATTGTAAATACTGTGTGATACTGTAAAATATTGACACATACTGCAAACGAATAAGTAATCAACACTGTTAACGAATCAGTTTTGTGCAGGGCTGCTCCTTGAAAATGGAGATCCAACCACTCTTCTAAAAATGGTTCCCAAGGATTTTTTTGCTTGAAAGGTGCCAGCCCAGATCCAAACGTGAAACCAAACTTTGGGCCGTGGAAAAAGCATGTTCTATTCAGTAGGGGGGTCTTTTTCATGATCACTGGGACTCAGTGTTTTACTATAAAATGGAAATCCAACCACTCTTCTAAAAATGGTTCCCAAGGATTTTTTTGCTTGAAAGGTGCCAGCCCAAACGTGAACCACATTTTGGGCCTTGGAAATAGCGGTTTCTATTCTATAGGGGGCACCTAATCACTTGGACTCAGGTTTTCATTCTATAGTGGATTATTTGTTTGAAGCGGTGGGTATGAGGCTGGGTTTTCATTTTATATAGGAATGGAAGGGGGGGTGTCAGTGGGCAATAATATTGTAAATATTGTATGATACTGTAAAATATTGACACATACTGCAAACGAATAAGTAATCAACACTGTTAACGAATCAGTTTTGTGCAGGGCTACTCCTTTTAAATGGAGATCCAACCACTCTTCTAAAAATGGTTCCCAAGGATTTTTTTGCTTGAAAGGTGCCAGCCCAAACGTGAACCACATTTTGGGCCTTGGAAATAGCGGTTTCTGTTCTATAGGGGGCACCTAATCACTTGGACTGAGGTTTTCATTCTATAGTGGATTATTTGTTAGAAGCGGTGGGTATGAGGCTGGGTTTTCATTTTATAGGAGTGGAAGAGGGGGTGTCAGTGGGCAATAATACTGTAAAATATTGAAACATATTGTAAACGAATAAGTGGCCAACTGTTAACGAATCAGTTTTGTGCAGGGCTGCTCCTTTAAAATGGAGATCCAACCACTCTTCTAAAAATGGTTCCCAAGGTTTTTTTTGCTTGAAAGGTGCCAGCCCAAACGTGAACCACATTTTGGGCCTTGGAAATAGCGGTTTCTATTCTATAGGGGGCACCTAATCACTTGGACTCAGGTTTTCATTCTATAGTGGATTATTTGTTTGAAGCGGTGGGTATGGGGCTGGGTTTTCATTTTATAGGAGTGGAAGGGGGGGTGTCAGTGGGCAATAATACTGTAAAATATTGAAACATATTGTAAACGAATAAGTGGCCAACACTGTTAACGAATCAGTTTTGTGCAGGGCTGCTCCTTTGAAATGGAGATCCAACCATTCTTCTAAAAATGGTTCCCAAGGATTTTTGAAAGGTGCTAGCCCAAACGTGAACCACATTTTGGGCCTTGGAAATAGCGGATTCTAGGGGGCATGTGTCCTAATCACTGGGACCCAGTTTTTCATTCTATAGTGGATTATTTGTTAGAAGCGGTGGTCAGTATGAGGCTAATCATACTGGCCACTGCTTGTAACAAAATCAAACAAACAATCCACTATAAAATGAAAACCTGAGTCCAAGTGATTAGGAAAAAGACCCCCTATAGAATAGAAAACTGGGTTTGCAATGCCTCAAGTTTGGTGTCACTTTTGGGTATGTATACTGGATGGGCGCAATCCAGGTACCATTCTATAGTAAACACTGGCCTACCAGCCTCATCTCTATAGAATCGTACCCCCAGGTGATCTATTTTATAGAGATTTTTCCAAGGAGGATCTTATAACCGTATAACCTTTCACCTACTTAGTCAACCCAGCCTGAGTCAAGTGCCAAAACTGATGTTGGGTATCAGAGGAGCTAACAACAATACATGACATAGTAATACACATAGTTCAAACATGTCCGTAACATCCATTCTGGCTGGTTAATTCCCGCATATTCTTGGTTTATTTCTATTTTTGATTGCTGAGTTGACTAGTGTTGGGTAAACTCCCATCCAAACAGCTCCCTTTACCCAGGCCACACCATCCGGCCACCGGTAAAAGCACCTCAACAGCAAGGAAAAGGGCAGTGCCTCAAGAAGATCCGTTGTCTCAAAAAAGAGAACACCACTCCTGTCTTACAATGTTTTTTAAACTGTCACTTCTTTTTGAGGTTGATTTAAAAACAACAACAATACTAGTCGTGTGTTTGGAAAAGCATCATGTCCCCAAAGAAAATGGCCGAGGTCAATGATAAGAACCAACATGGTTTTCATCATTCACCTGGCTAGAAAATAGGCTATTGGCTATTGCTCACAAACTTCAAACAAGGTTTATGAGTGTTTATGAACATTTTCTTGGGCAAACCAACAAAAATGGTAAAGAAATTAGTAAAACTCGGTGGCATTAGAGGAGGTTTATATATTTTATATTTAGATATTGAAACATCTTGAAACCCATGGTGACGACTGGGGATCCCCCATGACTTTGGAAACCAAGTGACGATGCTGCCGTGGCGACAAGGGAGCCGAAGGCCTCATGAAGCCCAGCGATCTCTAGCGAGGCGATGCATGGTTATAGCTGTCAAAATCATCTAAGTGGTGCAGTTTCAATTGCCATGTTTGATTACCGGAAGGTACATCATGGTACATCAATGTACATCATGTTAAATCCAGGTTGGAGTTTCTTCGAACCTGGTGCACTGGTGCAACCAAATCAACAAAATGGGAACATGTCACAGATGAGGATCCAACACCACTGGCTCTCCCTTCTGTTCTTTTTGCCGGAAAAACCACGCTACTCCAACAGAACATTGATCTAAACCTCCAGGGATTCACAAAAATTACACTTTTCGGTATCCAACTTTTGGGGGAGGGCCATATCGGCCCATAGCAACTCTAAGATGGGCATCTCAGGGATCGGAATGCACGGTGCCTCTGGCCCCATTCTTCCCGGCAGACGGTCACATGCATTGAACCGTTCGAACCTCTTGAGGATACTGTGACAAGAGAATTTCCGATCTGTGATCTTCCGGCGTATCATCTTCCGAACTCAGGATGAAGCGATTCACAAAAAAAATGGGTCTGAAAATGAGGTCTACCCCATATGTTCAGAGGGATAATGTTGATTATGGCTACCCTATTCTTAGATAAAAACCCGAATGGTTAAAGCAAGAGTATGGGACTAAGCAGCCTGCGCGACCATATCAAAACCAGCTCTGTCAGCGACTCGATTTTCACAGTTCAATTGCGCGCCGCTATGGTTATAGCCACCCAGGTAGGAATCAAACCCCTATGTACAATTTGCACATATATATAATCTATAATTTATAATATACTATATAGTACTGCGATGAATATCACAAAATGATCAATTGTTCAAAATGGATAGAGTAGCACATAGTAGCACCAATCATATGATTTTCCCATTGAACCCATTTAACCCATTTAACCCATTTAACCCTCCATTTTTTTCGTGCAACAATCTGCCAACGTTGGGTTTTTGACGTCGAGGTGCGGAAATCCAGCATGCAGCAAAAGCCTCAACGGATGATCGTCTTGAACAATGGGAAAAAGGTTGCTGATCGCCATGGAGGTTCACCCAAAAGTATCGCAATGACTCTGTGTTTTGGTTTGCGGAAAATGGGTGAAACATGGTGAAACCCAAAAGTGTTAAAATGTCATAGTTGAACATGATGATAGCCCATCAAGTCGGGTACACTATTTTCAAAACCCATGGGTGAACTCGAGGGGTGGGGAGAGCAGTGCCATCCTCCATTGATGAAATTGGGTATAACCCAAAGCAAAACTATCACACAAATCACAACATAACTGTTGAATTCGGAATAGTCATGAAAATTGGTTGTGATACATCGATGGATTATTAATCTGCTAAATTGATGTACATAGTATTATATATATATATATTATTGTTGAACTGTTTCCCAACACGATTTCATGATATTCCATGTTCCTTCTGGTAAACGTTTACATAACTATGGAACATCACCACTTTTAATAGGTAAATCAACTATTTCTATGGGCAATGTTCAATGAGTAAATCCACTATAAACACAATTTTCAATGGGTAAATCCACTATAAACACCATTTTAAATGGGTAAATCAACTATTTCTATGGGCAATGTTCAATAGCTATGTTAAATTACCAGAGGCTAAATCCAATCTGAAATCCCATTAGATCCCATTAAACCACCATTTCATATAGATCCCATTAAACCAAATAGCGGTACCGGAGGCGCCTCACGGCATCGTAGTCCTTTTCGCAGAGCTTCTGTCGGAAGTGCGCCGTGGCTTTGGGGTTCTCCTCGTGGGGTGGTTCTGTCTGTTGGTAAAACAAGGTAAACTCAGAAGAAACCATCCCCCAAATCACCATATCACCATAGGTGGTATGGTTTGTATGGTTACCATTCCCAGCTATAGCTGGTTTATGATTGTTTGACCAACATTATACTAATTCACTGACCTGAAAAGGGCTGACATAAGGCCGTTTGGAGATGATTCCCCGAATCCTAACCATCATTCCAGTGACTTCACAGTGAGGTCACTATAATTCATCCAAATTCAATCTTCCAAATTATCGCAGTTTTAAAGGGATGTGGATGGAATAGGGTTCCCCCCTTTGAACAAATCCTGATGGGAATGGGGATAATATGAGCCTAAACCAACGGATATTACATAGATTCTAGAGATATAATACTTGTGCCGTGGTCAAAACATGGTAGATGGAGTGTGGTCATCCATCCATCATTATTGATGTATTGATGACCATCTCCTGATATAGGCAATTTCTCAAAGTTTTGGCCATAGCACATATGGAAATCATAATCATGTCACTTTGTAGAGGATTATCAAAACATGAGGCAACTCCTACAAATTTATATGATGGGACTACAAGGCCAAACCACCGCATACAGCATATCCATGGAGTTTTGTCCATTGATGTCCATTGATGTCCATTGATGTCCATTGTGTATACTGTATTCGTTCAAGCCTTTTTGTCATACCTTGTCATACCTTGTCTGGGATATGCTGACGCTTCCCCGGCCGGTTCCCCAGATCCAGGATCTGGAGACGCCGTCCTTGACGTAGCTCAAGGAGGGTAAGAAGAGGTTCGGGACGTCCCAACCTGGTTGATCCAGCTGATCCCATACTTGCGACGATCATCCCAGGCAAAATTATAGGGAAAAACAAAAAGAACACCTGGGATGATTAACCATTATTTGATTAACCAAGTTAAATGTGATTAACCGATTAACCAATCACAAATGTATAATTAAGTATGCTAAAACCAGGATTTTTTTTTCCAGTATTTGATTAACCTAATATCACTTACCATCACTCACCAATCAAATACTGGTTCATTTTCCCGATGGTTTAATCCCCATGTTTTTTTGGGGGGCCAAGACAAATGAAGATTTGTATACTGGAAATGCAGAGTTTTTGGGATGCTTCCATGCTTTCCTTTACGCATCATTTTTGGCGACGTGGGCCGGTCAGGTCTCTATAATTTACCCAGAATCCGAAACTAACCCCATATTCGGTCCTCAACTTTCTTATACTTAGTAAATCTAAGTATCTACTACTAAAACATCTAAGTATTAACTATACAATTTATTAAAATTTGTTGTTTTGAGCTTTTCCTGAGTAAAAACAGCGTCAAGCTCCGGGCCACCCGACGACCTGCTTGGTAGACACGCCCAAACTGCTTCGATTCCGCACGTGCATCCTGGAACGGCTGCAGCTCTAAGCATTGATTGAAGAAGGGATTTCGTCTGACCTTGGCTTAGAGCCGCACAGGCAGAACCTGTGCAAAAAAAATCATTGAATGGATTTCTTGGACATGGTACCCTCTGGTAATTTAACATAGCTATTGAAAATGGCTATTTATAGTTGATATACCCATTGAACATGGTGATTTTCCATAGTTATGTTAGTTTACCAGAGGGTAGCATTATCTAGCAAATGTCTTGTAAGTCTCAGCAACCATCCCAAAATCGGGGCAGATGATCTTTCAGTTTGTTGATCTTTCATTGGCAATGCTTGCACGATGATTTTTCAGAGTGCCCTCTCCTCGGAGTCACCTGAGCGCAGATGTAACTGGGCTACAGCTGACATGAGGTAAATTTAACAACAACAACAACAACAACGACAACGACAACGACAACGACAACAACAACCTACTACTCCTACTACTACTACTCCTACTACTCCTACTACTCCTACTACTCCTACTACTCCTACTACTCCTACTACTCCTACTACTCCTACTACTCCTACTACTCCTACTACTCCTACTACTCCTACTACTCGTACTACTCCTACTACCACTACTACCACTACTACCACTACTACCACTACTACCACTACTACCACTACTACCACTACTACCACTACTACCACTACTACCACTACTACCACTACTATCACTGCTACCACTACTACCACTACTACCACTACTACCACTACTACCACTACGACCACTACGACCACTACGACCACTACGACCACTACGACCACTACGACCACTACGACCACTACGACCACTACGACCACTACGACCACTACGACCACTACGACCACTACGACCACTACGACCACTACGACCACTACGACCACTACGACCACTACGACTACTACGACTACTACGACTACTACGACTACTACGACCACTACGATATACTATCATATAATTTGGATTTCAACAACAAAGTTACATGGTTTTGTGTGGATGGTATTTGGTATGGGGATGGGTCCAAAGCACAACATACAATACAGTCTTTGGATGAATATCCCATAAACAAGGATGAATGTCCCTTGAATATCCCGTAAACTCACTAGCTAGTTTGGATCGAAACCAACATACCAGGGGGCCTAACCCAAAGCCACGGGGGTGGTGAGTTGATCAGAATCAATAGCATGTTTGCAGATAAACCACACAGTTGGTGCTCACCCAAAATTGGGCATTCAACCAACACAGATAGAATTGGAAATCCCCTAATGGGAAAACCATCTATAAATGGTGGATCAATATCAAGCACTGAGCAAACTGATGCAATTCAGAGATGGACTAAACTTGTCAAACTTCTTAGCCCAAGTAGTAACATATGTGTCATGGTCAAAATATAGTGGCTTTATACTCATCCGTCCCCATAGGAATGAACATCCACTGCGGCTTGATGACCATCATCTGTATGCAACTGGCCAGGTGAGAAGCGGCATCACATCAATGGAATGTGGAATTTCCCTAAATCCACCATGGTTTCGTTTGGGGGGTGTTTAATAGTAGGAAGGGATTATTGTGATGCAAAGATCTTGGCAGAGTTTCAAGTAGCCAAATGCAAAGTACCCAAGTACGTTGCGTACCAACAATAGCCTACACCAGCGCATGGCTACGACTTTCACATGTCTCGTTACATGTATCGTTGTTTGCTTCCACCAAAAACAATCTATTGTGAGTCTTAACCACTCTTTGACCACTATTTCGATGATGTGGGTGTACCCGAAAGTCTGGTATACCCCAAATCCACTGGAAAATTGGATAGTCATCATCTTCCCACTAAGTTTGGCCATTTTGGGTATGCCGCTATGTCCCCTTGCTCCAACTACCCAGCTGTTTTATCCTTAAAAGCCACGGCGAAGGCTGCCGAACCTCCATCTTTGTCCATTGGGCGATCCAGCAATTTCTGGGATTTCCAGATTTTGTGTATATATTTAGACAATCATCCTGAAGTAGATGGAATATGGACATGTCATAAAGTCATCACTGGAATGGGAATATCTTTGAATAAATGTATATTTGACTATATAATATTATAAATGTATATGTGGTATGTGACGGTATGTGCCTCCCGTTTCCTTTTTTTGTGGCTTCGAGTCTACCACAATACCAAAGATGATCTTGAGTTTTCACCGGCAAGCTTTTAGTGAAGCGCTGGAAGGTACCAAGGAAAATGACATCATATCTGAGGTACATCTTTGTATCTAGTCTATGGTCCTCTAAGATCCTCTAAGATCCATTGAAAACATTTGAAAACAACCAATCTAATAGAGAAACACATCAACATGGCTGCTACTCGTGTCCCAAAGCATCTCATCTATGACCATTACAAACATCACTGCGCCTGACCGCCCCTTAAGGGCTGGCGATGGCTAATGGCTGCGGTAGGCCTTTTTGGACTGCACCGATTCATGAGATGTCATGGTTTGTCAAACATCACTTTTCGTTGATTCCAGGTGCTCCAGGAAACCATCTACAACACCAGGCCAATGGTACCGCATCACCATCCAACTGATGATCAGCTGGGATCATCCTGGATTTCATCGAATCTATAGCTATGATCATGGCATGGCGACTACAAGCTGAATCACATTTGGCTCTGGGTCAAACCCCGGGTACCCCAACCGAAAACACCAGTATTCGTTGGGATTTACGGATCTTAATTCCCCCCATCTCCCCCCCGAAGTGTGGTATGTCGTCGGTTTTGAACGATTTTGATCCATCCCCATTTATCATTGACCCCGGGAAAAAGGCCGACTGATCGTTGAAGATTTCGCCTGTTTCAGTGCGCCTTAGGAGCCCCGGCAGTAGGGCCTAACGAGGTATCACTGCCTGGCGTGGAACAAAATTGAAATAAATTGAAGGTCTACCATGGATTGCACCGATAAAGATAGTAAAAGTGGGAAACATTAAACATGTGTTCTTTGTCCACAGGTGTCCCAGAGATTTTTCAACAAAAAACAAGTCTGGTCTGATTGTGAAACTGTTTTGCTGCCCAATTTGAACCTCTGAAGCCATCTAGTGTCATCCAGTCACTATTTGTATCAAGCCGTTGAGTACGAAGCACTTTCTCGGACCTACCAAGTCGATTCCGGATTGGGAACTGTTTACTGTCCACGCCGCAGAGCCTACTGCCATACACTACTTTCCTCAGAACAAGAGATTCTGCACCCAAACCTAGCTATCCTTTCCAATCAACTTGATCCTCAGGCACCATTGTTTAATTCGTATCCAGCAGCGCGTAGCTTATGCTGAAAAAATGCATCATTTCCCACGCCCCCAAGACATCAAAGGCCTGAACGCAGGAGACTGGCACCCTCCCGCTGGTTTCTGCCCTGGCGGTGCCATTGGGAAGGGATGGAAGACACCCTTTTATTTGTAACCACTTAGCAAGACTTGCCCCCTAATGTTCGATACCCCAAACAACCCTGGTTACCTTCACCCCAAGGTCCCTGACTGTCTTTTTTCCCCATTTGTTCGATCATGGAAAGCGACATGAAAAATAGTGAAAGTGAAAGATAGTTGTGCCCATCATTTCTGCCATGCATTCCAAATCGGGGAAACCATTCCAATTCGAGCCAATCCAAAACTGGTCACGGACTCCCTGAAAACACCACCTGAGTGATGGAGGCTATTGTTTGGGTTTCCCAATGATTGTGTACTCCGCGTGTGTTCCAAGTTGTTACCAAGTTGATCTGAGGGCAGTCTCAAAGCAATGATATGCTAAAAAACAACAGTCGAATCATGTCGAATCCATCAATCCTTTTTTTTTAAAGAAACCAATGTTACCCTTTCCTTAGACTCAGACATGTGTTGGTATTTCAGCCGCAAAATGCTCCATTTTAATCCGTTAAACATGGATTTGTCGGAAGCAGAAGAAATCCCATGATTTCGGGAATGGTGAGCAGGGCTTGTCCGAACATGGGGTACCAAAAATTTGACCGTTGATCCTGATATTCTCCAATAGAATAGCCATATATAGCATTATAAATATATATATATATATACATAGCATTATATACCCTCTGGTAATTTAACATGGCTATGGAAAATCACCATTTTTAATGGGAAAATCCACTATAAATGGCCATTTTCGATAGCTATGTTAGTTTACCAGAGGGTAGCCATTGTTTTGGGCTTTTTGGGATATACCCAATTTTTTGACATATCCCATATATCCATATCTGCTAGAAACACCAGGATATCCCGATCATTCCCATGGTTTTTTGTCCCACATCTGCCACATCCGAAAGTCTCGCCTCCTTGCTTGGCGGCCATCCCGAATTCAATCGAGGAATAAAACCTGGGCCAACTTGGGGTATCCATGGGTATCCCGGAGATTCAACCATAAAAAATAGCCATTTTGGGATTCCTCCAGGTTCTCCCGGTTGGGTTTTTTAAAGGGGACCCAACTAACTGGCTGCAGGATCATCCCATGAGATCCAACCAGCTTTGTTGGTCATATACGGTCATATATGGCAATATTTATATATATATAATTCTAATAATTCTACAAAAAATATTATGATATAAATTGATATAAATTGATATATGATTACATATTTGATCATGTTTGGAGGGTAAGCCCATTTTCAGCCTTCACCATAGGTGAATATGGGTGACATAGTTCAGGAAACACGTCGTGAAGTCCCGCTCTCCTTTTTCCCCGCGCCGCCGCCGCTTTAGGATGACGAGACGGTAACAGCCTGCCATTGGTTGGGGGAAAGCAGCCTCTTGTGTCATCGATGGCCTGGAGCATCCATCATTTAGTTTCGATATGTTTCGATGATTCTCCCATTTCAAGGATTTCCCATGGCTTTTTCCCATCAGACCTCCATTTCTTGCCGGAGAAAACCCTGGGACGATCGATAAACCCAATCACCAACGAGGTCCCTCGCCTCCGGCTCGTTTGACTGCAGACTGTCAAGGGGCCTGGCTGGTTACTGGTATGAAACTGCGATGATGAAAACATATGAAAACTGGTAGAATAACTCCTGTCATTCACTGATATGCAATAACTCCATATAACTCCTATACATTTATCTGGGTAAATTATAATATGTATATAACTAATCTGAATTAAGGCCATAAAAGGGGATGATTTCCCTTCCTAACCATGATTCCAGGCTTCGGGAGAATAGGGTTCGGTCGTATTTTTTTTTTACTCAGACTTCTATACATAATCATGACCTGGTTGGTGGTTTGAACCCCCCTGAAAAATATGAAAGTCAGTTGGGATGATGACATTCCCAATGGAAAGTAATAAACAATTCCATGGTTCCAGTCACCACCAACCAGTGACTCATGTCCAACGAATGATCGCATCAATGTCCTACACACTGGCGATCAACACTGGCGGCGATCGGCCTTGGTTCCCCCTTGCCATCACTTCGCACCTCGGTCAGCGGCGAGGATTTTTTGAAACCGACGATCTACATCTGAAAATACGTCGATCTCCGATGTCTTTTTGAACCCCTTAACTTCAGTGACACTGTATGCATTATTCATATCCTGGGATCCAACAAAAAATGCATGTGGAGCAGGTCATTCGTTCAAATCCAACCCAAAAAACAGTAAGCCCTCTGACGAGTTCCTGTTTTGTTGAGTAAATCTCTTGGTGTGCTCCTCTTTTTCCCTTTTGATCTACATTCTCATCGGTTTTCTTCGTAGTTATTCCCCTCTCTGTTGGTAACTTTGGTTGCATCACAACTCAAAAATAACTTTCCGAATTTCCCCTGTATCCCCATTTGATCTGCAACCATTTAAGCATGGCATATACATCGACTCAGTCTATGGTTTAACGTTGGGAAACTCAATTCATAGCTCCTGTCCTGGCTCCCCATATGTCGTACGGAGGATGGATAGATCAGCTCACCACGAAAAATCTGTACACCAGTGGATTGCCAATAGATGTATTTTCCCTGCTAGAAATCAAAAAAAAGATTTTCATGGATTTTCCAACGCTTTTCCGTTGGTTTCTCCACTGTGGCCACTCAAAATCGCTGGGTGCTCACCATGCAGGGTGCTGCGATGAGATGTTGTGCCAGGATCTGGAGAGCCGTTTTTGGCAATGCCCGAAAAGGTGGATGTTAAAATCCTACAGTATGAACATAGTGTGGCAACTTGTGTTTGTTGTTTTTGGGTTGCTACATAGCTATGGAAATCACCATTATTCGTACGTCAATCATCCACAAATGGGCCACGGCTTCCATAGCTATGTTAGTGTACTGGAATATGATCAAACTATATAACTATATCATTGCCTCCCCATGCTATGGATCAAACGCTTCAGGGGAGTGAACTGAATGAACATATATGAACATCCAAAAATAATCATCTGATTGGTGGTATACCAACCCCTCTGATAAATATGAGTTCGTCACTTGGGATTATGACATTCCCAACTGAATGGAAAGTCAGAAAAAAATCCATGGTTCCAGTCACCACCAACCAGTCATAAATCCTAGCTGTTTTTGATATAAATAAAAGGAAATCCCATGACCATGACGAGGTCCTCCTTCGGGATGATGTTAAATAGCCTCTGGTAAACGTTTACAGTTCGCGAACTGGAAAGATCCACCATCTTTAAGTTCGGTAAATCAACCATTTCTAATGTACCATTTTCAATAGCGAACTGTAACAATTTACCAGAGAGTAATGGGTAAATCATCTATAAATAAGGGATCTTTCCTTTGCCATGTCTGATATGTCTGATTACTGGAGGGCATACCTATTTGAAACCACCAGATATGATGCATGACAATGTTGACACTATGCGGAAGCTACCGTCAGATAATCCTAGAATATCCCAGGAATAGATGAAAATGAAACGTGAAAGCTTCTTTGAGCTGGTTGGTCCATTTTGCCATTTATCCCGTAAACTTAGTCAGGTTGACCCAGAATATTGAATATTATATATATATGTAATGCATTGTAATGCAATATATGGTTTTGTCTGAAAATAGGGCACACAAAGTCAGATTGGGATGATTATTCCCAATATATTGTGGAAAGTCATAAAATTCCATGGTTCCAGTCACCACCAATCAGTTTTTTTTCCGGCTATGAAGGGCCCAGAAAACTGCTCCCCTCATTGCTCCACCTCTGGCTCCGCATCAATGGCTTCCTTCCGGTCCAGGACGACCAACTCCCCACCGTCCCCGTGGGGCCGTTGAAAGTTGAACCTCGCCGTGGAGCCCCAGCGATCCCCAGCGGCCCGGGGAGGATGTTGTTCTTTAAAAATCAGATGAGAGCCAATCACAGATGTGTTTTTTAATGGAGCTCATAATCTATAGTTACTTCACATCTATTGGATAACTTTCATGGAGATGTGTTTTTTCTCTAATAGCTACTTCACAGCTATTTACCCTTCAAACCATGGTGGTAATGATAGATATAAGTTACAATAAATCAATGGTGTTTGGGGGCAAATGAACACAACAGGCAGCACAGCAAATGAATCGGAACCAGTGGTCAGAAGTCTCCTGGAATTACTTTAGATTTGTCTATGTCTATTGTTTTTCATTATGTTTTCCTTGTTTTGGACATGGTTCCAGAGTCATGAGGCTTTGGATGGCATCCAATTTCATCCAAGCCAGGACCAAACGTGACAGCAAAATCATTCATAGAACATGATAGGCAACCATAGGATTTTAGGCTACCCCGGTTTCAGACTGCTCGCGGAGCAGCGTGAGCACCTTTTTGATTTGGGGCTAAAGAAGCCTGCGGTAGGAGGTGGTTGTTACCTACCACAGTCATGTCAGTTGTGTCAGATATACTACTCTTGATCATAGCCAAAAGGTCAGCATCTAAAATACTCCATGCACTCCCCCTTTGGCAGTTTGCCAAACTTTTTGGGTGCACGGTGCCAGTTCGGCTATGAAGGTGGCCAAAACGCCCTGAGTCTTATCTTTGATAGACTCCCCTGGCTGCCACCATTCCATTGTTGGCCTTAAACACTAGGCCTTCAAAAGGTCTCTACTGGTCTTAGAGACTAGACCACGTGCAACCCTACGGGCCTTAAACACGAGGCCTTGGAAAACTTCTATGGGCTTTAAAGACTAAGCCCGTCACTATTGGCCAGTCAGGCCCAAGGCTTCTCTCAGCTGTGCTCTTCATGGACGAACTCCTCTTCCGCGCTGTAGTCCGGATCGTCCTCATGGCGTTCTTCTTCTTCGTTGTTTTCTAGGCCATGCGCTTCAGGTCCATCTTCATCACAACCTGCATCTTCTTGGTCCTCTGTGGCTGGACCCTCTGCTGCATCATGACCTTCATGGTCTTCTTCAGGGATCACCTCGAGCTCCACCTCGACGTAGTCCCCATCATCACCACGTTCTTCTTCTTCTTCAATCTCCTCTTCATAGTTCTCGTCCTCCGGATCCGCGTCTGGGTCAGATCCTTCTTCATCTGCAGCTGCATCTGCATGAGCTCGGCTTGTCTTGCCCTTGCCCTTGGCCTGAAGGAAGTCACGGTAGGCTTCCAGACCCAGATTGGCAGCTCCTCTTCCCACTGGGGCTGCGCTTGAGCTCGAAGGTGCTGCGCTGGAGCTTGAAGCGCCAGTTGGCGGGTGTAGGATTGCATCCGCATCCAAGTACTGGTTCACCGCCATAGCCGCCTCTTCATAGGCTGCTTCTGCCCCTTCGCTGCCATTCCCATGGGTGGCCACGGCGCTTTCAGCTCGCCGTACCGCGGCGGCTGCCCGGCTCAGCGACTGCGCCAGTTGCAGTTCGGCCGCTGGGTTTGCGCCCTTGCCTTGCAGGACGATGCGGCCCCCACTGCCTTTGCCCCCTTGGTTGGAGACGCGAAGGGCCCTTGGCTGCTTTCCCTTCGCATAGATGCGCTGCCATCCCGTCGTAGGGCTCGTCACCGAGTGGGTTATTGTGGAATCCTCACCCCTGGTGCCCTTGCCACGACGCTCCGGCCACCATCTGACCGTGTGGCCACGCCCCTTTCGGAGCTTCTGGGGCTCCCATGCAGAGCTCTTGCCGACCTGGAACTTGTTCTTCCGTCCCGTCAGCTCATCGGATCTTCTTTTCATCCGATACATGAACTCCTGGGTGGCCGTCCCTTCCACAGAGTCATCCTCATCGTCCTCTGCTTCAGGTTCTGGGCTTGCTCTGTCATTGCGCCGTGGGTCATCCCCGTCTCCAGGGCCATCTCGTCCACCATCACCACCAGTTGCAGCCATCGCCCCATGCCTGGGGTCCCTCTGAAGAGGACGAGCCTTAGGTCGCAAGGCCATCTGCTCGTTTTGAGCCGCACTGGTTTCGTCGTATGGCACCTCCAAGATCTCAGCCTCTGAGGTGCTCGACAGTGTCGACGGTGAAGGCACCCTTGGCGTCGATGGCGGAGTTCCCCCACATATTGGTCCATCGCCAGCCAACCTGAGGATTCTCTGTAGAAGAGATTCTCCAGCATCTTCACCTCTACCTTGTTCTTGTTGTTGTTCCGGCGGCGGTGCAGGAACTTCTCGTTGAGGTGGACTTACCATCCTTGCTGGTGGTGGTGTCGGCATTCCAGCTTTTGCCCTTGACTTCGCCATTGCCATCGCCAAGTCATGCCGAACCACATCGCCCGGTGTGCGAAGATCCACTTCAGGGCCGCCACGCTGTCGTTCCAACCATACCGTTGCTTCTGCCAGTTCTTCAGGAGACCTATATCTCACTGGCCCAAGGTCCAGCGACATGCTTTGTTGCGCTGGTGCTTGCCCTTGTAGTCCTGGATGAAAGCCTTGAGGTCCTCTTGGAGGTCCTTGGTGTTGTTGCCCTCCACATCCAGGTGCAAACCCTTGTTGTCCGTGAGGTGCTTGTGGTCCATGGTGACCTTGTTGCGCCCCTTGCCAACGAAAGCCAGGACAACATCCACCTCTCCAAACTCCAGCATATCCCTGCGGAGGTGGTGCCGGCAAATCCGGCTGTGGTGGCGGCATCCCGTGCTTTGGGTCCTTCTGGACCGTTTTGGCCCTTTTGTCTTGCGGCTGCTCTTCATCCTTTTTGGGCATCTCACACTGCCATGGAGGTGCTGATGGCAACCTTTTCATCATCTGTTGCATTTGCCCCCACTCCTCATCTGTAAGCGGTCCAGATGCCGATGCCGTTGTGCTCCTCAGAACTGCTTCTCTGGTTTCACCTCTTTCTTGTTGCAGAGCTCTGCGGGCAATTTCTCGATCCAGCCATGACCTCCGCAGTGCTGCTTGGCGCAAGTTCTCATTCTTCTCCTTGCGCTCTTTGTCCCATTCCTCGTAAGAGAGGATTCTGCGGCCTGCTGCTTTCGCCTCCGCAAACTGCCTTTCCGTCTCCTCCTCAGCAGCTTTCCAATCCACCGAAGATGGCGACGGCGTCCTTGGTTGAGGTTCTTCTGTCACCTCAGCTTTGTTTTCCTCAGATTTTTTGTTCTCCTGAGGTTCCTTTGACTCTGGTAGGTCTACTTGTCCAAGAGACTTCCCAGCTGCTTGCCGCTCTTGCCGCTCTCGTTGTAGACGTCGAAGGTATGCCATCTTTTCATTCCTTGTTTTTCCTGCGTTCTGCAACTCCTTGATGTCTTTCTCCAACTGCGTCACTTGTTTCTTCACCCGTACCCTGCGGTACTTCTTCAGCTTGGGTCCTTTTTGTTTCAGGACCTCACCTTTTTCGGCATCTCCAGGTCGTAGTGCTTCTCCATGTAGTTGATCTTCTCCTTGTTCAGATTTCCCAGCACCTAGTCCAGCACTGCTTGAGGCTTGGCCTTCCTGCGTCTGAACCGTCCGCACTGGTACTGCATCATCCCCTGAAGAGAAGCCCTTCTCATCGTCCAACACCACGCGCCTGATGCCCTCGTTTTCCTCATCCTGGGATGATTCTTCCACGCCGTGCCCCTCATCATCTGGCACCCGTGACACTTGCGATGCCGGTCTCAACGTCACCAATGACGGAACCGGTTTGAGACTCACCCTCTTCGGCTTTGGTTTCCCCGGGCATCTTTCAAACAATTTGCCAGGGACATCGCGGTCTATTCGATCATCACGATCTTCTTGTCGACCACGATCACCTTGATCTTCTCCACCATCGCTCATCACCGCAAAGAATCGCAGAGCAGGTGGAGGTTGTCCGTCTATATTTGAACCAGGCCGCAACAAAGTCAAAACTGCAACCCGTTCACCATCAAAACTTTGCAAATCACCGGCAACATGTCCCAACGAAGTTCCCCTTGTAGTAGTACTCATGTTTTGGTTTTCTGAGGACATTGTGCTCCCTTTTGAGTAACCCTTTCTGTTTGGGGATATTTTTTGAAACCCTGATGCTAACCCGGAACCCTTACCTTTTCCACTCCAACCGCTGTCCTCGAGTCGGTCATGTCGGTCTTGTTTGACCCTTTTGGTCCGTCTCCTTTGGATCAAGCCCTTCGGGATGTCCATCAAGTCCAAGCCCATCTCCCCCTCATCCGCGACCAGTCGTGTCGATGCCAAAGTCACCGACGATCCCATGGCTCCATCAGCGGATGAAAAAAGAGACATCTTCCGAAGTTGTGGTCCTTGACCTTGACCACCAGGATCATCATCTTCGACCAACTCGAAGCTGCCATCGCCCTCAGCCTCCTCATCCAGCTGCGTTGTAGCGACTGGTTGGGTACTGCTCTGGCTTGAAGTGGCAGGTTGTTGAGGTTCTTCTGGGAGTCGCTGAAGAAACAACGTGTAGCCCGTCCAACCAGTCGTTTCCCATGATTCAGACCAGTTGTCCGCCACTTAACTGCGTCTTCCATTTCCATGGATCACCGTGAACCTCCTTCCCAAGAGATTGCCTGGAGCTCCTCGGTGAACTGGATGGAAGCTTCGTCTCCTTGATGTCCGGTGGTTTCGCATCACCACCCGATACCTCTTGCCAAAGAGCTCCACAACATCCATGTAGTGCCATCCATCTTGAACCCGTGGAGGTTGTGTGAACAGCCAGTTTTCTGCAACCCTTCGAAGAGCCTCATCAACTTCATTGTCAGTTGGTTCTCGTGGCGGAGCTCCTGGAGGTTGCCGTTGTGGATATCCTTGTTGGCCTGTTGAACTGCTAGAGGAAGCACCTTGTTGTTGTTCACGTTGAACTGCTTGGTGAATGCTCCCCCGTTCAGCAGCGACTGCTCTTTGGAAGGCTTCTGCACGTTGTTTTGGTTGTGCCTCTTCTGCCCTCCTCTTCGGTCTTGCCTTAGGCAATGCCGCCTT